GAATATTTCCATACATTCACTTGGTAATAAGCATCATTAACCTATGTAACTCGTGTGCGATCAGTCATAATTGAAAATTTATTAAATATTAATGATCTAAATTTTTTTAAAGTCCAAAAATTATTGACGCTTCTTTTTCCATCTGACTATAGTTTTTTCTTCAGCCGCCTGTAACTTTCGCGAAGTTTAAGCAAATAATTTTATCATTATTCGATGATAGAATGAGATAATATTCCATCGATTAATTTGAAGCGTCCGTTGCTAACGTGATGGGCATCATTGGATCACCAATATCGGTCTGTATGTTTGTATCTTTTAGGCAACCTTTTCAGTTCATCTTGCTCTAATTTCCATTTCCAGTTTTTATCATTATATAATAATTTATGTAGTGGTAAGGCTATTGTTGAAAAATTTTTGCATGTATTGTAATAGTAATTAATTAACACTAAAGAAACTTTGAGTCGGTGCTTTCGTTATTGCATCAAAATGTTTTGTAGTCAACGCTATACTTTCTTTATTAATTATGCTCTAAAAATTCTGCCCCTTCCACGAAAAAATTACTTTTGTCAAAATTTAATATCATTTCGTTGTCTCTTAGACTGTTAATGCCTTATGCAAAATGTTTTACTATTATGTCATCCAAAAACGGTTGTTCCTGGTAGTCCTTGTAGCAGGTAGTGGATTATACCGATTAAGGTGCTGATCACCACGTATCTTTTTAAGTCTTCGTCCAATTCGATTTGATAGTAGGCACTGGATAAATCTAGTTGTAAAATGTGCTCCATCTCCAATGGTTACTAATATTTTGTCAATTTTTGGTAAAGGACATTGTTCAGTTAAAGATTCGTTGTTTACAATTTTTTAGAAATCCCCAAAATTCTAATAGTCACCTTTTAAAGATACTATAATGCTGCTATATGAGAAATAGTTATTTTTTCAATTATTTTTAATTTTACTAATTTATTTAAAATTTCATCAATTTTATTTTTCCAAGAACGATAGAGGACGTGCTTTGAAGAACCATTCTCTTGCATTTTCCTTAAAGTTATTTTTCTTTAAAATTTATCAATATTCCTAATTTTGACGTAAATAACGGAGCGAATTGCACTTTATAATAAATCATACCTTCAATTTCATTAATTATATTTACATTAAGGATTACTTGTTCTAAATTATTTGAATTATGTCTTAAATTATATTTACCAATTATATTCTTTTACAATAAAAAAACAATTTAATTCATATTTTTTATCTAAAATTATTTTTCCTAATACAATATTATTATTATTTGTATATGATTTATTTCTTTGCAAATTTATATATGGGTACATCAAAAGTTTTCTTATTTAGTAATGATATGATAACTCCAGTATCTACCAAAAATATAATAGGTAAAGTTAAATATTTCAACCTATACGAATACTTCGTATGATTATTTCTGCTATAACACTTATACTTACGTACTTTTTAAATTTTCCATTTCGATTCATTGATTGTTTGCTTTTCTTTTTTAAATTTAAATTATTCATAAATTTGACTTGTTTGAATTGATAATATTTTTTTAACTAATTAATTATTACGGTGTATTTTAATTGTCTGGGTAATTGAGGATAGACAAGGTAGTAAATTATTTTATATGCCTTAGTAACATAGTCTTAGGCAGGAGGGGAGGGGGAAATTATACCCTTAGGAATCTCCGTAAACATTAGAGTAACCGGAAGGAAATTACATCCCTTTTTTCCATGGGAAATTTGCAGGTTTTGTAAATATTCTTTATAGCAAATAAAGCCCCAGCCCTCTTCTATAGACAATGTTATTTTTTGAAACAATAATTATATACGATAATAAATTTTCAAAATAATTAGTATAACTCAAATTTTTCAGAAAGAAAAGTTTATTCAATTCTTCAAAAATAGTAATCAGGTCATAAAATTGCAATAAAGGGACACTTAAACCCAATCTACTCGATACTGTATATGCTCTGATCCTGGAGAATTAGGAAATTAGGTTTAAATCCAATCGCTTTTGGACACAAAAATGGAACTAGAAATATGTTTGTAAGCCTAAGCGCTCTATGTAACCTACAGAAAAAAATTTTAAAAAAAAATCGAAAAAATTATAAAACACCCAATCTGTTATATTTTAATATATTATATATTTCAAAGGTTACGTTATATATTTTAAAAGGACGTTATTTGTATATTATAGTATTATAACTTTCCGACATGTAATATTATATTATCTAGGTTAATCAAATTGCATATTATTAGAAGTTAAATTGGTTAATTATATAAATGTATATATACAAGAATTACAAATAAAATTCATTATTGTTTTTAAACATTAATCGATATAATATTTGGCGACGAGGTAAAAAAAAGTCGCGCGGTTTTCAGTCTTCGGTCAAGTTAAATGTTATATAGAATTATAAAAAAAAATTTCTGTTTATAAAAAAAATTAGAAAATAATAATAGATTTGTTTAGAAATTATGGATAAAAGATGAATGAGATAAATGTGCTATTGACGACTATAGACACATAAAATATCCTCCAAATTTTCTATTGACCACTATAGACACAAAAAAAAATATTCTTCAAACTGACGTCACTTTGAAAAAATTATTTATAGCTTATGGAGGAATAAACATTAACTGATATAAAAAAGAATTACTCTTCCCAAAGAAAATATGGGCAGATATATACAAAATTGCAAAACAATTTATAAAGATAAAACAACTGTTCTGGCATCTAGAATTGATTTCGTTAGATTAAGTCGCGGGCCTACAGAATCCGTTTTGAGTTATTTAAAAACTATAAAGATAAATTAATCGCCGGAGAACTATGTTTACGATACCCAGATGCTAAAGACGAAGGCCAACCGTTAAACTTAAACAAAGTTATAGAATTTATGATAACCGTGGATTATAGAATTTATGATAATGATAAAGGGCACTATCAAAATGATTGATACAAGCTATTTAGATTTCTATGGATTATAGAATTAATAATATTGATAAAGGGCACTATCAAAATGATTTTTGCAGCCAATTTAGATTTCCGTGGATTATAGAATTTATAAGGGCACTATCAAAATGATTGATGCAGCCAAATTAGATTTCCGTGGATTATAGAATTTATGATAATGATAAAGGGCACTATCAAAATGATTGATGCAGCCTATTTAGATTTCCATGGATTATAGAATTTATGATAATGATAAAGGGCACTATTAAAATGATTGATGCAGCCTATTTAGATTTCCGTGGATTATAGAATTTATGATAATGATAAAGGGCACTATCAAAATGATTGATACAGCCTATTTGGATTTCCGTGGATTATAGAATTTGACTTATCATGATTGATAGAGCCTATTTGGATTTCCGTGGATCATAGATTGACTTATCGTTACCAACAACTTAAAAATCAATATGATTAACAATAGATATAAATATAATGATAATGGTAAAGTGAATATAATAAAGATAATAGATCCATCAACAACAAGAGTAACGGTAACGTGAATATAATAAAGAAAATATTTCCATCAATAACAAGAGTTACCTGGAGTACTCCAATGGTAGTGGTACGTAAAACTTTAGGTGAACTACGATTATGTGGAGAATAATTCTACCAATGTTTGAAGAATTAAACCGAACTTATAGAGAATATAAAACAAGCTCATTAACAAACCAAAGATTATTACGTTGGGCTTATAAATTATCGGCATATGATTATAATATAATGTACAAGAATGGCGTTAATAAAAAATAACAAGCGAAAATAAAACAGTGATGGTTAGAACAATTAGATAAAGATGTCGATGAACTAGAATCCCACAATCCTGAGTAAGGGAAGATTATAAAGTTAGATGAAAACAGAAAAAAATTAATAGATGAACTTGAACTTTGTAAATAAAAAGATTGGTATCATAACATTGTGGGAAAGAAATGTTATATTTTAATATCGTATATATTTCAAAGGTTACGTTATATATTTTAAAAGGACGTTATTTGTATATTATATTATTATAGCTTTCCGACATGTAATATTATATAATCGAGGTTAATCAAATTGCATATTATTAGAAGTTAAATTAAATAATTATATAAATGTATATACAAAAGAATTACAAATAAAATTCATTATTGTTAATCGATATAATACTACCAATAAATATGGGTAAAAAAAATACAAAATAAACTAAAGTTAAAAAAAAAATCGCCAAATTTTATTTTGTAAAATATTTAAAAATAGGTTCAAAGAATTCAAAAATAAATGAAAACGAGAAAAAAAAAATTAAAGTTAATCAAAAATTTTACTATGTTACCATTTTTTTTAAAATCAAAAATTTTCTGACTTATCTTTTGAAGCTAAATACGATTCTATATTAATATAATTTAATTTAAGCTTCTTTCATAGGGGGTGCGTAGTTTTCGGGGGCACGTATTTTAGTCATGCCCACCAATCTCCACATCTACCCCAATTTTTTTAAATTTTGTAAGTAATTGTAATTGATCACATTTTTTAAAGTAATTATGCCTATCCATAGTTAATATTAGAGATCTGCAAAAGTAAATAAAATTGATAAATTTTAATATTTTAGTACTAAACATGGCTCCAATTATATGTTTGTAGAATCATCAAAAACTTGATTATGTTCTGAGTAAAACTATATTGAGAAAAAATTAATTTCTATATTTAAATACACTTTAGCTTGACCAGGTGGACAATAATTATTATTTTGGTTCAGTCTTTTTGGGACAAATAAAAAAAATGTTCAGGATTGATTTGATAATTTTTGGGCCTGGAGGAAAAAATTAGGCCTGATTGAGATAACTAATAATTATTATTATATAGACTATACCTTATAAAAAGTAATTTTCCAATTTTTAACGACTTTTGTCTTGGTGATTCTGAATATAAAACCAATAATTTTTTTGATTTGGTTTATGATGATCATCAATATTTAAAATTAATATTTATTTAAATCACCACAATATTATAATCGATGAGGTAAAATCAAATGTATATATTAAATATGTAATACTAATAGCATTTCCATAAATATTACAAATTAAAAACAATATTAGCTAACATATAATATATGATTGCATTTTTTTAAAAATTAGATTAATTTTTCCATTTGCGATTTTCAAAATCCCATCTAGAGGAAGGGCCAGTTATAGGGTGCTGGCCTGACTCAATTATTTGTTTCAGCATTCCCTCCTGATATTCTCTTGTATATGTTGAAGGCACATTATCAAATACTATAATTAACAAAATATCAATATTATATAATTCTTGTGATTTAAATAAGATTACCATATCTACTAGTGTAAATAAACATCCAAATAGAAATAGTAAGAATAAATATAGTGGTAGCAGAATAATTTTTCCAGTATGGTATATATGCATTCATTTCACTGTAAGTTTGTCGAAAGCTATTTCTGTATACTTTTTTTCAAAAATATTATATAAATAAATGTAATTCAGTAATATTAATATAAAACTTAAGACACCACCTGATTATTTATGTAGAAATTGTCCGACCCATCCTAATTTTTTTTATGAACATAGAGTGAAAACCTTTCAATTTTTTTTATGAACATAGAGTGAAAACCTTTTGATATAGGTTTAGTTCAAGTTTCTTGAAAAAAATATATAAAGGTTTAGGATTGGTTCAGATTTAAAAACCTTTAGATAAAGGAACATAAAGTAGTAGTAATTATTATTTATATATAATAGCATCTTTCTATCATGTAAAAAGTAAAATCCTATCTAATCTATTCATGATCAATATAAATTGCTAGAAATTTTTTTAAATTATTTATTAATCTTTACAAATATTTTTATGCAAATAAATTTCCATTTCAATTATATAGTGATAATCTTAACTCATACATAAATATACTTTCTTAAATATTAATAATTTTAAAAAAATGTAAATTAAGAAAATCAAATCTGATAAGAAAATTTTATAATACCAGGTTGATAGTCCATATTTTATCTAATCCAAAAAAATTTATTGCAGATACATATTTTAGATTGAAATAAATCAAACACTATATTATATTAGAGCTTATTTTAGAAAAATTATTCATTTTTAATAGAACCAAAATTGAACATAAATTACACAAATATGGATATAAAAAAATCCTTAAATATCAAGAGGAAAATAAAGGTTTGATATAATTTTTGGCCTCTAATAGATTGGTTTAATACTCAGTTGAAATAATATTTTAAATATAATTGTCTTAATAGAAGGCTTACATTCTTTTTTTTCTTCAATACTCAAATTTTTCCAATCTTTCATCTCCTTTTCTCTAAGCTTCAGAACTTCTGGCGTATTTTCTTTAAATCTAATAGCAGGGCAAGGTGTTATGGGTATATCTAATGGAAATATAGATTTAAAAAATAAATGAGCAGTACCAAAATACACTGGTTCTCCATTATTTCCATATCCTACAACATCTCGATTCTTAATTAAGGCATTGCCATACATGCTAGCTTTGGGTACAAAAAAAAATTTTGTATTTAATATTTTGAATATCAAATTTCTATTTTGTAACATGGCTGGCGAAAAAGAAAGGATAAATGCAATCTGGACATATGATTGTAAAAATATTAAGCAAAATGAAGGTTAGTAATTAATTTGTTGTTTGTTTCACTAAGCTAGGCAGTTTAGGCTAACTTTCATTGCAGTGAAACTTAGGATTTTAGTTGTGTGGACTAAAATATAAAAATACCCATAGTGGTAATATTAAAATTCAAGTAATCTAGAGTATTAGTAATCCTAAGAAATAATAAGCTTTTCATTATGTTTCAAAATGACTTTCTTACAATGCTTTTAAAGAACCCCGCTACTTTTTTAAATAGCAATAACTTTAGCACCCTATTTTTCTACTTTCAATTTTATAATTAATACACATAAAATTATTAAAATATATATTATAATTTTATATTTAAATCCAAAATCATAATTATTTTATTCAACTTAATTTTGAAATTTTTATTTAAATATCTGAATCATAAAAATCTGTTTTAAAATAATTTAAAATGTCGTAGAGATTGATATTGGTAATAATTTTGATACAGTTACGTACGACTGTTTAATTGCGGAGATTGGGACAAAAATATTTAAGAATTTCGCAATTATCCGATTTTTTGAAATTATACTATTAAAAAAATAATTTATTTACTAAAAATCAATATATGTTTTTTATATATAATATTTGTCATTTATATATTTTTTAAGCATATAAACAGGTAAAATTAGGAATAAATACAAATTTTAACTAATATAACAACTATACATTTAAATTTGAATAAGTTTCAAAACAAATAAAAAACATATATTTTAAAGATTTGTCTAGTATATTTAAACATATGAATTTCCTAAGTAAATATTAGGAATTTTTAAATACTAGGATTCGATATTCAAATAATAATCAATATAAATATTATATTTCAATAAATTATTTATACATTTATATAGACCTTATACATATAAATCCAATTTTATAATTATATAATTTTATTTATCTCTGATTAAATTTCATATAATATAATATATTAAGATATTCAATTTATTTTCTTTTATCCTTGTTGATTTATTTAAAATATTTAGTGGCTAATTAAGAAAATTAATTTTTAAATAGCAGGCCAGGCTTGAAAATTTAAGTTTATTAAAAGTGTTTAATATTTGATTTGAAATAAATTTACTGTGTACAAAATATGATTATAAAAAAATAAATTTTTTTTGCTCCTATAATATTTTTTGTGATAAGAGTTATCAAAGGTTTTATGGTTAATTATTTTATGTAGAAAGTAGCTTTATCTATTTTCGTAAAGTATCCAATTGCACACCACTTTTTTAAGAAAATAGCGATATCAAGATGTTATCATTTTTGCAAGACGATAGCGAACTGCTTTTAAATTTTTGTTTAACAGCATTGCTTCCTTATGAATAGGGGATGCAATTTTTATAAATGTCTTAAACACCTGTCCTGTATGTCACTAAAATTCTGGTAGGCGAATAAATTCAATATGCTGAATGCAAGTTATAAAATTTTGCGAAAACTAAATCGTTGTACCATATTAAGTCAATATATTTAAATCCATTATTAAAAATAAATTATATTTTACAGAAAATACTTTATTTATCCAAACTCAAGAAACGCCTAACCCCAACAGCTTAAAATTTTTGCCTGGTTGCCAAGTTTTGGCATCTGGTACTTATGAATTTAAATCATTGGATTCTGCAAAAATATCACCTTTAGCAAAGTATATCTAATATTTACATAATTATTTACGAATTTATTAGAAGCTTATTAAAAGTGGAAGGTGTCAAAAGTATATTCTTGGCCACAGATTTTATAACAGTGAATAAGGTAATTATTATTGCAAGATTTACAATTTTTTAAATTTAATTTAGAGTGATGAAAATGAGTGGCAGCTTTTAAAACCAGAGATTTATTCAATAATTATGGATTTTTTTTCTTCTGGTTTATCAGTCATTGAAAACATTAAAGATAATGAACCTCGTATTTAACATTCTATAGATTTTTTTTCATCGTATTCTTTTAAGAAAAAATAGTAGAGGAAGATTCAGAGACAGTTCAAATGATCAAAGAAATTCTTGATTCTCGTATTAGACCAACAGTGCAAGAGGATGGAGGAGATGTCATTTTTATAGTTAATTTTTGCATATTTAATTTTTTTTTTACATGGTTATCATTTTTCACATTGAAGATGATGATATTATTTATCTTTAAAAAGAGATGCAACCTTTTTTAATGAGATGGCTAACAAACAATATCAATATTTGTCAATATTTTTCATTTTGACTGATACTAGTGTCATCCAAAAATGATAACTAAGCATCACAAAATTATTATTTTTTTCAATTTATTTTAATTTTATTGATTAATAAAATGTATCCCCTCTATCAATAAAGCCACATTATTATTTTATAAAATATATGATGGTGTTGTGATTTAAGTTGGTGTTTAAAAATGTCCTGAATAAGATTTTAGCCAAAATAATATTTATGTAAATCTGGATATTTTAATCAAAGGTGAAGATTTATCCTCTATGTGCCAAATCTTGAAGCTTAGATTTTCACTAAAATCTTAATTGGGACATTTTTAAAAATTGATCCAATTAACAACACCATTATAATATCAGGCTGATTTTACCATTTTTATATCTATGATCAGCTGAAAATGTGGTTTCAATACATATCTGATCTTAAATCTGCCCAAATCCCTGCTCTGATCATATTTTCTCTTTAAAATAAAATGATAAATTAAATTTTTTTGGGATTAGATTAAAGCATTAAGGGATTTTTATTCAACTTTATAAAAAATGTTCTTTTACATATTTCATATAAAAATTTTGATCTTAAAAAACTAATTAAAATTTTAAGCCAGATTTGGGTCAATTAAAGTGAAAGAGCTTTCATTTAAATCATTTAGATAAAAAAAAATATTTATATATTTTAGGAGCATAATTATAGAAAACATTACATTTAGAGCTTTGTCTTTAAAAGATTGAAGAGGGGTGCAAATGGGAACTAATTTATTTTAAAAAAACATTATTTAAACACCATGAGAGCTTCTAATAACATTTCGGCTGTATTGAGAGTAGAGACCTACAGAGGTCAAAGCCTGACTTCTAGATTAAAAATTAAACATTTTAACCCAAATTTTAAATTTCAAAACATTTTGTAAAAATTTTTTTATGACTTAAATATAATTATACCTTAATGTCAATAATTTTTTGGCTATAATGTTGAGTTGGCCATTTTTAAAAATTGGCACAAATTGAGCCGTTTAACAAACAATAATCAATATCTTGATGATAGAATAATATAATAAGCGTCATTTCTGTTTCCACTCTCAAAGTGAATATAGAGTTTTTAACCCAAAAACTATCCACTATGTCTCGCGGTTTTCGCCGAAATGGCTTAAACATGAAAGCCGAAACAAATTAACCTCCCCCCTTCCCCAACTAACTATTGAACCGAATTTCGCAACGCTCATTTAAAAACCGTAATATCTAGCTGGTTACTTTTTTTAAAAAAATATCAGTCTAAAAAAAGAACCCAATAAAATTACTTGTACTTTATATAGTGAAAGAAACTTTTTAAAAAATCAAAAGTTCCACCAGGAACATGTTAAATACTTAAGTATAATATTAAATATTTACAAACCAAATTCTTCCAGGAACCCTCCTAACTGACCTTAGCGATTGTAATATTATTAAGTTTAAACCTTATTATTAATTAGGGTTACAGTGACGGTGTTGTGAAATTAAAAATGCAAGGTGCGTGTACTGGTTGTCCTAGCTCTGTCGTAACTTTGAAACACGGTATAGAAAATATGCTAAAATTTTACGTACCCGATATTAAATCAGTGGAACAAGTACATATTTTTTTTATTCAATTTTTAAAGAATGTCCATCATATTTTCTAAATAGATTGAAGATGAAACAGAAACCATCAGTCAAAAAGAATTCGAAAAATTCGAGAAAAAATAATTTAATTTTTTTAAAAAATCTTTTCCGTATTTATTATTAGGCTGAAGATAGATACGAAAATAATTTAGTTCAAAAAGAAATCTTGACGAAACCTTGAAACTTTCCCGAGCAAAAAAAGGGAAAATTTTTCTTATTTTTTTCTTATATTTATACAAATTTTGGTGCGCAAAAATTATAAATTAAAAAAAATGTTATGTAAAATCAAAAGGGTTGTTGTTCAAGAAATTGTAATTTCTTTTCCTAATATATTTCTAAATCCTAAAAATTAATTTTATGTAGGAGAAACTGGGGTTAAGAGGACCGTATCAAAAAATATTTTCAGCGACTTTAAGGACCGCACAAAAAATATTTCCAGCGATTTTAAACGATAGCTAACTTGAGTTTTTTAAGTCAAAATAAATCGGGGTACATAGAATCATATATAGAATAATATAAGAAAAGAAAATATTTTAACAATAATAAAGATTATGGGGAACACTAAAAATCTAAAATTTTATGATTAAAAAATTATGATAATATAGTGTATAATATTTTAAAAATATTTTAATGAACTCCATCCTATAATCCTAGTCCTCAGTCCTGATGAAGGATATAAAATGATTTGAATAGATGATTATGATATATAACTCACGCGAGTAACAGAGGAAGGTTTAAGCTTCCATTTGGTATATTATATTTAGGCGGAATTAGTTGAACTTAAGTCTACATAAGTCATTACATTTTCAATTATAAAAAAACATATTTTATTAATTTAAGTTGACATAAAGAAAATAACTTGAGAGGTGTTCATAATCTATTATAGAATTAAATTTCGATAGATTTAATTAGATATTTAAAATAAATAGGATTGAACTCATAGCCATGGCCCTAATTTAAAAAAAGAAGAAGATAATAAGGGTAAAATCTATAACTCAAAATATTTATTTATCTCTATTTTAACATTATGCATTAAATTTAATTATTTCGCAAAAAAAATTTATTGATATTTATCTAGTTTTTACAAATTATGACATGAAAATGAATAGTAAATATTTTTTAATCAGGCAAAAAAAGGAAGGATATATATTAATAATATTTTGGTCAAGAGCCTTGCCTATATTTTATTGGGTGCTACCGCCACCCCGTGCCCTGCAGAGCTCTACTATATTATATGTATTTTTATGTTGTTATATTTATATACCATAGATACTCTTAGAAATAAGTATTATATTGTTATGTAAATATATTTTTATTTATATTAGTATCGAATATATTTTTTCCGATACAATTTAACCTTAAAAAAAGATGAAGTGTTAACAAAAAAAAATACAAGATATGTTATGAATATTATCTTAGGAGATACTTTACAATAACGAGATTTTATTAAGAAAATTATTTTAATTTTATAAAAAGAAGCTTTCACGCAGATACTTTTAAAAGCGGCACCAAAATTAGTGTGATCTGGACTAATTTTTCAAGCCCGCCTGAAATTTTTTATAAAAAAATTTGTCCAGCCCAATTTTGAATTTTGTTTTATTTGTCCCGAAAAGCCCTACCCATAATAAAAATTATTTGTCCGCCTGGCTCGAATTTATTTAAATATAGAAAAAAAATTTCATTTTTTTATTGTAAAAAAATATTCTACAAATAAAAAATATTAGCGCCTTGATGCAAGAATTTTAAAAAATTTATTCGATAAAATGTAATGATATATTTAAAATTTAAAACCCGGCAGGGTCCATAAAAATATTAGGCCCGATCCAGCCCTAATCGATATTATTAAATACACACAGCCCGAAACCCGGGGCTGGGCAATGATTTGCAGATCTTTATCTAAAAACTTTCAATTAAATTTATAGGGAGGAAGGGGAGAATCCAAGAGTTATGTTTCTCCCTTTGGAAATCTTGGCTACACCTATGTATCCACCATATGAACCGGAAATAAATCGTATTAATTCTATTATATACCTTCTAAAAAATACAGTTTAAATCAAATTGAATAAAACAAGTTGTTACAGGAAAATGATTGCTAAGGTTGAAGAGAAGGAGAGCCGCACATTGTATAATTTAAATTTAAAAAAAATTAAATTAAAAGATTAACAAACCTTCAAATGAGAGTAGAAAATCGAGAGATTTCCAAAAGAGGTAGGCTTAAGTTTTGAAACTTAGCTAATTAAAATAACTATCTTATTGTTTATGAATAATGACAAGTGTTTTGAATTAATCCCTTCACCTCTCATACTATAGTTGACTTACTAGATTGGCGATTCATTAATTAAAAGTATACATACATAAGATCCCACTATAAAGCTATTATGTGGTTTGCATATCCATATGATATGATATCATATTAATATCATTTAATCAACGTGTAAACCATAAAATGGTAGTATACTGATTTCTATTTAAAAGCACTTATAAATGCATTTAAAAAATGAATTGCCAATCTAGTACCAGTATACATTTGTACTGTCATAAAAGGCTAATATGGCCTTTGAAGCATGTGCCGAAGAAAATTATTTAATTATGCGCGAAGTAATTTTTTTACGATTTCTTCAAAGTTGTGTCATACTTAAAAAAACAGGCTGAGATAATATTTTTTGACGAGAACTATTTAGTCGGTTTATATGAGAAGCAGTTTATTGTAGGAGCTAGAGAATAAAAATTACCAGGATGTGTCTCCATATAGCACTTGGAATAGTAATTTTTTTCCCAAGAAAATCGAATATATCCTACTAATAAATTTATAATTAACATGCTTAAATAATTATTTATCAATAATTTCGTGGTAAATTAGTTATGTAAATTGACGTTAAATAAAAATTGGTAATTAAAAAAATATTGGTGGAACATTTTTGGGAAATGGAATGGTCAGGACAGGAGCCTAATAGGAAAAAAGTGACCGATGGAAGATTTCAAAAAATATTAGGACCTTTGAGGCCTTCAAGTATTTTTTATAAAATAATCTTTTTGGATAATTAAAATGACTGCAAATAAAATTCATAATGGAGAAACGTTTGATGAAACAGGAAATATGCGAAGTATGTTGGCTTGCAAGCTCAGATTAAGCAAGTGATCAGTTATTATTCTCAATATATGCGAATTTTACACATGTAATAATCTCGAGGTTGATAATCTCCTCGGTGAAAAGCTAGGTGAATTTTAAAAATAAATTTAATAAAATGATTGAGGTATGGACCAAGGCAAATATGAATAAAGGCAATAGGATCAAAATTTGGGCAAACGAGATGGTGGGCATGCGAGAAAGAATTTTGTGTGTATGTTTAAGGCAGGGACCCGGGATAAGGGCATTCTTGCGTTCCGTTCCAGCGGTCAAAAAAAAATTGTTCCGTTCCATAGAAAAATATCTAAATATATTTTTTAAATTTACACATTCTAATTATTCTTTATTTAATCATTAAATGAACAATAATATATTTTCTAAAAGATTATCATTTATATTGGTTTTGTGGTATTAATATAAATTTAAGTGTCGAAAAACAACGTTCAATACTTATCTGGCTACTTGGAGTTGCTAATACACTTTGGGCCAATTCATATAGGATAGAATTTTTTATTTTATTGGATTCCCAGTATTCTAGCAAATTTTTTATTTGCTCGAAAATTTTTATAGTTGATAGAATAGCATCCTTTTTGCAAGTTTTGCTCATTAGAAACATTTCTAATTCATCATATTCTTGTCCTTTTTCAGAAGATTTATCTGAAAATCACTTAGTATATTTAAATCTTCAACCTTAGTATTAATATGTTCCTATGTCTCCTGATTTATAATATATTATTTTCCTCTTCGTTCAAAATAGATCTAAACCTAGGATTTAGATATAAGGCAGAACAAAGTAATTATTTCATTAGCATTTATTCCTTTTTGTTGAGAGCAGAGATCAAGTCTTGTGATAACAGGAAATTAATTTTTTGATTTTACATTTGGTACATTGATCTATAAAGTCATTTGGAAAAATGCTCTCTTTTTGGGACATTAAGATTGTTTCCTTTAACGACTTTAATGAGGTCACCATTTTTTTTACAGTTTTCCAATCTTCATCGAAGAAAAAGATTTCATGGTGTACCATTTATAAGGATTTAAAAAATAAAAAGTAATATATAGACATTTTTGATGGATTAAAAAAAATTTATCTTTTTAATTATAAAAATAAATAAGAAATTTATATATAATTTCAGGACCGTTCGGTAAGGTTCCGGAATATACGTTGCGTTGCGTTCCCTTTCCATAAATTTATTCAAAGTTCCATTCTTGAAACGTTCCGTTATGTCCCTTGTTTAAAGTCAAAAATAGGCTAATATCAACCATTATATGTGCTTTATTTAAATATAATAGCATTAGCAACAATTCTTTTGAATCGAAAGCGGTTTCAGAATTTGACACTTTATTTATTGAATAAACATGGCAATCAAAAACCTTATTAACGGCTCATATCTCTTTATTTTTTTGAAATAATTGGACTGGACCTCTATCAAAGAAATTACATTTTTGGATGAATTAGATTAAAATAGACAGATTAATAAACATCGACTAAACTCTAAATATTGCATATAATTATATTTATAGTTATTTCAAAAAAATGTTTCCCGCCAAATATATAAACGTATTTTTTAAAAATAATAATATTTATCACCAAAAATAATTATACTATAAGACTAACAACTATTTAATATTATGCATACTTAGACCAGGGTCATTACTAGCCTCTACAATCTCAGGGGGCTCAAAAATATTTTATTTAAAATTAATTTCAAAATTACCATTTTTTAAGCAAATTATCCAAATTTTTTTTTATGCTTTCAACCATAATTAATTTACTACGCCATCTGGTTGGGACATTTAATTTTAATATTTTCATATGTGTGCAATGATCGTTATCATCATCATTGGAAATGCCAATTTTAAACTGGTACCAGGGTGTAGATCAATGCTATCAATATCTAGCATATTAATGTAAATTCAATTTTACTTAGGCTGTGCCCCGAACTCAAATTTAATCTCTGCAGTTTTATATTTAAGAGCAGTAATAATTTCTCATATTCTTTTGGTAAGTTTTTCAACAAAAGGTATTTATTACTATCCAATCTAACAAGATTATGCAAGCCATAACCTAAGCATAAATGGTATTAATATTCACCTAATAAAACTCCTTTTCTAACATTGGATGTTAACTTTTGGAATTTTTGATTTTTTATTGATTGAATTCTAAAATGATGTCAAAATAATTATGATGTTAAAATAAAAATTTATCAAAATCATGTTTGACATAAAAAATTTAATATTTTTATTTGCTAGGCCCAAATTTTTAAAAATTTATATAATGTAAGAATTTCCTATACGTGTGTCAATATTAGATGTTTTTTCGCAAATTTTATTTGAAATTTTGGATTTTCACTTATTTTTTTATAAGTTTTAAATTAATTATTGTTGTAAACGTTATCAAAAAAGAAACGCATTACTAGTTGCGTCTGAAAAAGGGAACGCTCTACCGTCACTTGATTCCTTGTGAAAAAGGGAACGCGTGTGGCTATTCAAAAAAGTAACGGCTTACTCGTTACTTAAAAAATTAAATATTATATACAAAAAATCTTTTTTCTCTATAAATATAATATAAATAAAATAATTTGCCTAATAAATTAAGTACTTAAAAAAAACCAATAAACTTGGTATTAATTGATAAATAATGTTGAAAATATTTAATTTGAAAAGAAATCACCAATTTAAAAAATGTCACCAAGGAAAATTAAAATTTCAAATTTAGGTTAATAATTAATTTTTTAAAACCGTTTTAAACCGGTTCAAAATATTTATAAAAGTTCGCTCTTTTTATATTTTCTTTATAACGGTTCATTCCGGTTTGGTTATAAACCCTGATTATAAATAGTTATTGTGGGAGTGAAATTTCCCAAATGCATTTTTTTCTTCCTTCTCTAAAATCGAAAGAGCCAAAAGGTTTCATAATCAATAAAATAATATAGCCATGTTTTTTCATATTTTTTAAGAAAAATTTATAGTAACGTTACTAAAAAATACAGAAACGCGTTACTTCTGAGGCGTTCCTTCCCTTCAAAAAAGGTAACGCCGCTCTTCAGAACTAATTATAGCTTTTACTAATTTTTCTTGATATATTTTTGGATAGGAAGGAATTTTTTTATTAGATTAAAATGATATTTACAAGAACAGAAAAATTCAGGATGAGTGGGATTGATTACTCGCCAGAATGTATAGTATTTTTAATATTATTTGCTTAAAAATGCATTTACATGTAAATGTCTGTAATGTGCTAGTTTTTAACATGAAAATATTTCCATTTCGTTACTAAAAATCTCCATTACGCCTGGCAGCATGTCACAAGTTTCATACATTTAGTGGCGAGGGCTACATTTTTAAACTAATATTTTTCCCAGATTTATCAATGATATTTTGCAACCCGGTCAATCAAGAATACTCAAAAAATCTTTATTAAATTTTATTTGACATTATTCGTTATATTAATTATTACACTAAAGCAGTTTAGCATCCATAAATTTTTGGTGGCCCTAAAAAGGGCCGTTGGGTATTTAATCATTTAAGATTTAAGCGGAAGTTTCAGACTTTTTCGGCAATAAGATACTTTGAATATTGGGCAATACTCCTCCTTGAGCTATCGTTACCCCGCATAGCAATTTGTTTAATTCTTCGTCATTTCTAATAGCTAATTGCAAGTGTCTAGGTATGATCCTCGTCTTTTTGTTGTCTCTTGCTGCATTTCCTGCCAGTTCCAAAACTTCGGCAGCTAAATATTCCATCACAGCAGCGAGATATACGGGAGCTCCAGCACCTACTCTTTTAGCATAGTGTCCTTTTCTCAGTAACCTGTGAATTCTTCCAACGGGAAATTGAAGTCCAGCTCGGCTTGATCTAGTCTTTGCTTTGCTCTTTATTTTTCCACCTTTTCCTCGGCCAGTCATTTTATATTATTTTAATTTTAAAAGTTACAAAAAAATTTTTAATAATAAAAAATAACAATTTCCTTGTATTTATAAAAATAATATGTGTCTTTTTAATAGCCAATCAGAAATTTTAAATAAAAACGCACTTAAAGTTTATTAACTCACTTTATAAAAAAAAAATATTATTTTTAAAAAAAGCGCAAAAATAAAAATATATGTGTATATTTTTACATTTTGTGTTTCTGTGTTTGTTTTTAATTTTAAAAGGCGCAAAAATGATTATTTTTTAAAAAAGCACAAAAATTAAATAATATGTGTATATTTTAAAATTTGTGTTTTTGTTTTAATTTTTAAAGGTGGAAAAATGTATGATGTCTATAATTACAAATTTTATGTTTGATTTTGAATCGCAAAAATGCAATTTTTTTATTTTCTTTCTCTCTACCCGGACCGAAGACTGGAATTAAAATAAAAACCACACCAAACACCAATATTGAAGGATCGGATAAATATTTTAGTCATGCAGAACCTCCATTTAAGTAAAATAATTAGCAACTATTTTGTATTGACCTTGGTTTCTTGTTTATATTTTATATACTGCATAAAATCGGTCCGGAGTGAAATATCGGCTGTACAGATATTTTTTTTAAGAATGAATTATTTATAAAAAATACAATTTTTATTTAAAAAAAATGAATTTTAAATAAAATTGACAAATATATTATATCATATTTATGTCGTAGTAGGGGAGTTTGATCAATTCAGGATAAAAAAAATATATCCCCTTCATTGAATTATCATTTTTATTGTGAGTTTTTCTAACCATTTGAACTTCTAATTGTCTGATGTGATATAAATCACGGGCTTACTTTTTTATAATATAACTAACGTTTCTCAATTTTTTTAAACGACAATCCAAAAATGTATTTTAAATGTTAAAAATGAGTAATTTTTTAAAATTATTAGTTTCTTTAGCAAAATGCTTTCTTTGAACAGGTCAAATTTTTGTTGAAACGAATCTTATAACTTACTCATTGAAATCAGGAAGAAAAAAAAGCTAAAAAATTATTTTTTATGATTTTCAGAATTATGCCATTATGAAACTATATTTAAATTATCACTTCAAATATTGAAAATGATAACTATCAAATATTTTTTACCAATTTTCTAATTATTGAATTTTTTTTGAACATTGGGGTATTTTGTAGCCTAAGCTGTGAGCGATAAATTTTCAAAAATATTTATATAATTTTAAGCGTTTGCAATAAGTTCTTGTTTAAAATGAGGTGTGATTTCTAACTTTGTCCTCCCATATCCCAAAATTATATTAAATATCAATATATGAAACAAATTTACTTCTAATTTAGTATTTATTTTGGCACAAAATAAAAAAAAAAGGGCAAACCAATTTGCGTTTTTAAAATTATTTTTGTTTGTCGTGTAAAATATCAAGTATGATTAGACCATTTAAAGTGAATTTGCTTTTACTACTCATGTCCGCATTTAAAAATTATTTCGCTTCTAGTTAGAAGACGACATCGATTCAACAGTTCATTGATTTAACCTTAACTAAAATAGTTCTTTTTCTTATATGGATCCACGCTGGAAAGTATAAATCAAGAAGGCAGTATATTTCAGAGGGGAGATAAAACACACAAGATTATGTGGAATTGTGATTCGTAGAAGAAAAGCTCATCTTAATTCGTATAAAAAAATATTTTTTTCGTTTAAAAAATTAATCATAACCATTATATGAAAATTTGAATCATAAAACTATTTGCTTCAATAAAATATGTAGCCCTAAAAAGGGCTGTTGGGTATTAGTAGTCACAAAATAGATCTATTTTGAACTAGTATATTTCGTCACAGCTTTAGTTCCTTCGCTTACGGCATGTTTGGCCAGCTCACCAGGTAATAATAGTCTCACAGCGGTCTGGATTTCTCGACTTGAAATAGTTGAACGTTTGTTGTAATGCGTCAAACGAGAAGATTCTGCTGCAATCCTTTCAAATAAATCGTTCACGAAAGAATTCATTATCGACATGGCTTTGCTAGATATCCCAGTGTCGGGGTGCACTTGCTTCAACACCTTGTAAATGTAGATACCATATGATTCTTTTCTCGATCTCTTCCTTTTCTTATCACCTTTAGCTACCTTGGGCTTGTGTGTTTTTTTAACGGCTTTTCCTGCTGGTTTTGGTGGCATTATTATGTATATTTAATTTATTATAAAAAGGAATAAAATATAAGTGATAAAATTGATATATTTTTCTATTTATATAAATTTAAAAAATATATGCGTATATATTAAACAGCCAATAAGAAGAATCTTTCAATATTAAAATAAGAAAACTATTTCCCTCCTTTTTTTGCTTTGTTTATTTTAAAATGTAATAAAATAAATATAGTGTATTATAAAAACATCCAATAATATTTTGTAAAAATTTCCTTTTTGCGCTTTTTTTTATATATATTCATTTATGTCCAATAGTATTTGTCAAATTAATAAATTATAATATAAATAGTTTGAATTTTTTTATTTATTTATCATTCTTTGCTTTTTCGAAATTTTTCAAAATAAAAATATAATATAATGACTGGTAGAGGCAAAGGTGGAAAAGGTTTGGGGAAAGGAGGAGCTAAACGTCATAGAAAAGTTCTTAGAGATAATATCCAGGGAATAACTAAACCAGCTATCCGAAGATTGGCTAGACGTGGTGGTGTCAAGCGAATTTCTGGGCTCATTTACGAAGAAACTCGCGGTGTATTGAAAGTTTTCCTAGAAAATGTTATTAGAGACGCTGTTACTTATACTGAACACGCAAAGAGGAAGACTGTTACTGCCATGGACGTTGTTTATGCCTTGAAAAGACAAGGACGAACTCTTTATGGTTTTGGCGGATAAAAGAATCTTGCTACAAAGCAAATAATACCCAACAGCCCTTTTTAGGGCTACCAATTTTAAAGGAAGTTAAAAGTTGCTTATGTATAAATTTTGTAAATTAATAGATTACAACGGTTTTGCTTGATTATTATATGGTTCGCTCGTCTAGCCACCATTTATCTAAAAGTGGAGATAGTTAACATATATTTGGCCATGTCTCTCCATAAGGTATTTTTAGTTTACGACAGGTCTTATTCTCGAGAATTTAAAAAATAAACACTATCCTTTAATTAGAGTTTTTTAAAATAGATTTTGGACATTATTATGGTTTTCAGCCCAATGTTTAAATTTTTTAGCACATCTGTAGAAGGGGGACTTGACCTCTAAATACCATATGTATAGTTAATTCTAAACCAATGTTTTGAGTATTTTAACGATTATAAAGAATTTTTTTAACTCTTGAATTACTACACATTCGTAAATATTATGAAGTCTGTATGATTTGGAGTTTCAATGATTTTATCTTTCAAAACTTTTATATAAGGAGTAATACTACACAACTCATATAAAATTTTTTTTATTATAAAAGGAAATTTTTATATTATTATCATAGCAGGACTAAAACATAATGAAAATCCTTAACAAATTACACAGTATATGTTCTTGCAAGTAAAAATTTTCTTTTGCATGAAAACATTTTAGATTTTTAATATTAAAAACTGACACAAATAATAAGAGAACTAATGTTGCGGCTGATAAACTACTTTTCATATGCTTGCAAATAACACTTGATAAAGATGATGGCTAATTTGTTTCCTTACACGAACGAAATTAAAAGAATGTGTAACCACAGAAGTTGCCTCAGAATTCCATTTCTTAGATATTATCGACCATACATTTAACAATTCATCACGAAAATCTGGAACAATACGACATTATTTTCGCCTTATAATTTAGAGACAAAAGATGTCTTCGATTTATGAATAATAAGAGCATTGGATCTTCCCAAACTTTTAATATTAACTAAAATGTCTTAGGTATTCCAGCTACGAGCACACCTTGCGACCGTGTATTTTCCATGCTGAGATCACTCTGAACTCTAAAAATGTCCTATAAATCTAAATAAAATAATATTTATACATGAAAAACATCCGAGCTCCAAATAAACTCCTCAAATACTGCCTATAATAAATTCAAAGATAAATATCACACCCGGAGAAGCCTTAACCGCTATTAAATCTTTCCCAAACGATTCTGCTCCAGGACTGGATTACCTTCGACACTCATTTATTATCGACCTCTTGGGTTTAGACAGTTCCGAATTTCTACTTAACTCTTTAACGAAAATTTTTAATCTTATTATCAACGGAAAATTACAACATAAACTAGCACCAATAATCTTTGGTGCTCGACTAATTGCTCTTGAAAAAGCTGAAAATCAAGTGCGCCCAATAGCTATTGGAATTTTCTACCGACGAACCATTTCAAAAATTATTTGTAATATACTCAAATCTACAATAACCTTAAGCTTGGCTCCTTACCAAGTGGGATTTGGAGTAAAAGGGGGCTGTGAAGCCGCAATCCAATGCAGTCGACTAGTTTTATCCAACCTTAAACCTGAAGATTATATAGCAAAACTAGACATAATGCCTTTAATTCAATTAATGGGAATAAAGTGATCTATACTTTCTTGGAAACATTCCCTGACTACCACAATTACATCCATCTTAGCTATGGCATTCCTTTCTTACTCAAGTTTAATGATTATATTATTAATTCTGCAGAAGGCCTCCAACAGGGTGACCCATTAGGACCATTACTTTTTTGCTATACCCTTAAACATTTAATAAGTGATATTGCTCTCTCATGCAAACTCAATCTACACGCTTACCATTTCTTCAATCCATAATTGTCTAGATATAATCAACAAACACTTTGATGAACTTAATTTATCTTTAAATATAAATAAATGCGAAATTTATCCTTCTCCGCCTCCAACAGACACCATATTAGATAACTTGAGACGGACACCCTTACAAGATTTCAGTATATTAGGAGCCCCATTTGGGGGGTGCAGAGAGAGTTTTTAATTTTTTAAAAATCACCTTCAATCACTATTCCCCAAACTATCGATCTTAAAAACATTACCCATCCATCAAGCATATTACATTCTCAAAAACGCCCTTTTAATACCACAAATCCAGTATTATTTAAAAACTTCTGGTGCCTTCTTTTTAATTCTTTTAATAGAATACGAACAAAAGATACTACAAATGATGACAGAGTTATAAACATCACACTCTATTCTAACTCATGGCTTCAAGCAACTCTCCCTTGTAAATCAGAAGGACTAGGCCCTAAGATCGGTATTAAGTATAGCCCTTGTTTCCTTCATCTCATCAACCTTATCAGTAAAAAATATTACCTCGGAAATTATTATCATCGATAAAGATAATTTATTAGATGAAGCCTTACGTTTTAGAACATTGATGTCTTACCAAACACAGCCCCACCAGATTCAACGAAACAAAAAGATTGGGATCAAGGATTGGTATCTCGTTCCTTAGCTTACCTCAACTTGAGCGATGTTCATCAATATAAATCCCCCCTAAGATCACTTAATTTCAACAACTCTGGCCATGAATGGTTAGATACATATCCCAGCATTTTAAATAACCAGCTAAATAACGACGCTTTTCGTTATGCAATCAATTTAAGCTTGGGCGTCCCTTTCCTAAACCATTATATTTGCATTAAATGCAATCAATCGGCAGCAGACGCATATGGGAGACACGCTCTCCACTATAAATTTATATCAAAAATCAGCCGACATGATAAAATAAATACATTAATAGCTTCTTTTTAAATAAAGCCAATTTTCCATGTATTTTAGAACCGACATCTTTTTTAGATAAAAAACGCCCTGAGGGCAAAACAATCATACATTTTTTTAATGGGAAAACCTTTAATGTAAGATTCTGCATTGATCCCATGGCCACATCTAATAATTCGCATGATCCCCTTAACAGTGCCGAATCTCTAAAAAATATAAAATACTCACAGTCACACCTAATGTGTGACAACCACTTTGTTCCCATAGCAGCTACATCAACCTGCTCTTTTGGACAAGCGGCATTAGATCTCTTCAAAATAATATCCAAATCAATAAAAAAATCATACCTTTCTCCATTTTATAAACTTAAGCAGAATATCGCCGTATCTATAATTAGCTCTAATTATCAAATATCTAAAACATCATGGTCCGCCCTTGCCACCTTGATATTTTTTTTTAAAATGTTTTTTCATTTTATAAAAATATACATTTGTATCAATCTTTTTTTATAACTTAAAACTTATATATGACATTTTTTATTATATTCTTTATATTATAATGTTAATTTTTGAAATAATATTTTATCATATTTGTATATGAATTTTAATAAAAAATTGAATTTAAAAAAATAATAATTATAACATTTAACTAATGTTAATGCGTAACCATTGTTTAGATGTTGCCTTAATGTATTACTACGCGGTTAATAAAAGGCCTGATGTAGCTAATGTAAATCTGTGCATAAATGTAGATTATCAGAAATATATAATTTTATTAGATAAAAATCCCTCTATATTCGGTAAGATCTACCAAAGCTTTCAATAAGTATCTGATGGTTTTTACAGAACTACGTGGTTCAGGTTAAGCTATGATAGCGCTCGTGGACCTCGTTAGCGGTTAAAATAGAAATATGTAACAAAAATAAGGGTTCTTGTTTATATGAGATGAGGAGAAATACAAGTTTTATTAAACACCAAACCCACTTAAAATTTTTTTTAATAAATCAATCCTAAAAAATATATTAAATAATATCTTGTTTCTTTCATTTTAAAACAAAGACCTGCAACTGCAAAAATATACGGTATATGAGCCAAATTTTAATAAATTTAAGAGAGCAAATAATTCTGGAACGCTTCAATTTTTTTAAAAATTTTCTGATATTTTTTAATTGTATTTTGCTTCGCACTTAACCTTGCACAGAGCCGATCCGAGTTTAAATTCAAACAGAGTGTCGGTCGAATCATGATAAAACATTTCCACAGAGATAGTCAAATTTCTGATCTCGACAAAATTTTGTATATTGACCTATTTAGAAAATAAAATGTCGTAACCAATTTTCGTGTTAATTTTAGACATTTTTCTATTAACTTTTAAAATGAATTTATATTAGTTTTTTCATAAATATTTTATATAATTTATAAACTACTCAAAAGGTTAATGGCAAAATTGTCTCCAATACATAAGATAATTATTCAAAACAACATTTTCG